TCCAAATCTCGCCAATCTAGGCGCAGACCGAGGCCCCCACATGCTGCCACTTCCGCTGAAAAAACAAGGCGTGTAGACCATCAACCCCAAGCGCCTTAAGAGGCTCCATCTTACGCAGAGCCGAGACCACCTCTACGTTCGAGATATCAGCCGCAATGTCCTGAGCGTGTCCATCCTCTAACGCCAGAATAGGGCCCGGCAAACGAGGCCCGGGAGATCCAACAGACGGGCCCGAGTAAATATGTTTAAAAAAAATCAACGGCCATCCTCTGCAACACCATCGGATCGTCAATCAATAAACCATCCGAGTCCTGGAGCGCCACAATTTTATTTCTGCGACGTTGATGCTTAACCAGCCGGTGATAATATGAAGTGTTACGATCACCAAATAAGACCCAGTCCTGTCGGGATTTTACTAGAAAAACAACTTCTCATGCAAAAGAACAGTGTCCAATTCTTTCTTCAATGTCACTTCCAAGTTGGAAAGGAAAGGATTCCGCCCATAATCACGATGCCGCTGAACACCCCCAATGCGAGCCAGCAACTGACGTTTGCGTCGGAAAATGTTCCCAAACACACGAACATTCCACTCACTAGCCTGGGACGAGAAAGCCTCTACCTTCACTTCATACGGACCTCCACCGACCAAGCACTCTCAACAACAGAATCAAAGTTTTCATGACTGAGCCAGGAGGCCAGAAATCGAAAAGGTTTCAAGCCGTGGGGCTGAGGCTCCCTACCAGAGCGAACTAATAGGGGGGGTGTGATCAGAGTGCAGCCGGAGAAGGTGAAAAACCATACTATCATGACACATGGCTGCCCACGCCTCATTTCCAATCCAACGATCCAGCTTTTTTGCAAGCCCGTTCCTAAACCACGTCGCGTGTGCCCCATCCTCTTAAGTTCATACATGTCATTATTAAAGATCTAGTCTGAAAACGTCGAACTAACATTGAAAATCCTCACCGACCCTCCATGCTTCTCAGACAAGCGAAGAAGGCAATTGAAATCCCCACCCACAATCCAGGAACAAGTCATGTGTCTCAC